GTATAAATGGTTATTACTTTGATGAATTCTGCACTTGAAAAAAACAGGTTAAAAGACGGGACAAGAATTATAATTTGAATACACTTTTAATTGTTGTGATTGAAGTGATTTTTTTTACTTTTGTTGAGTGTTATATGTCTGACATTGTATAGCAAAGACAGGGAGCTATCAATGTCAAGTTCATTGTTAGTGTATTTGAAATTTTTAGTTCCGATTTCAAAATGTTTGACACTAGTGAATATATAAAATAAGTAAAAATAATCGTGTTTTATGTTATTGAACTTTCCTATAAATGAGTATTACAAGCATTTTAGATAAATAGATCGACTGTTTTATTTTAGAAAATGTTTAACAATCCAATTACATTTGTATGTTTGAGACAAATATTTCAAAATGTGATACACTATTATATAGTCAAATATATATTGTTTACAACATATGTTCCACTTAAACCTATCAAAATATATTGGGGAATCAAACCATGTATAACAAAAAGTCTTTTATTAAGTTTAATAGTCGTATTCATGATTTTAAATCCAGTTTTTTACAATGCATGTAAGAAAATACCTCCTTTGAACACTACAGATTTTTCGTGTTTTATTTTTTTCAGATTAATTTACAAATTCAATATGTAAACAAATATTTATAAATATAGATTCCTTGCAAAAGCCAAACAAAATAACATTTTATTCAGGTTGTCTGTAATCGAGAAATTACGAATTCCCTTCGTAAATAAGCTATTTAGAATGAACGGTTATACATTTACTCATAGACAATTAAACTTTAAAACATTATTGTTCTTCAAAACAATATTTTGCAAGCAAGATTCTCTGTTAAGCACATGACCAATACTTACAGTCAAAGGCCAAAGGTAATACAAACTTTTAGTTCTAGCTAATTACAACTATCAATTTTATTCTTTGACTTTCATATAGCCCGGACCTAGATGTTCCCATATTTATTTTTATTATTTTTAATAACTCTAGTCATTGTTTGTAATAAAATGTGTATTTAATCATCCAGAGAATGGTATCCATAGTAGGCCTACACATTTTTAAATGCTCTAAATAACATTTCTTGAAATTATTCCAATTCCAATTTTAATTGAACATTTGTATACTTCGAGAAAATTTTAAGTACCACTTCTTTATCCACCCAAAAAAACAGAGGAGATATGATTCAAGCTTTCACAGTAGCTTATGATGTGTAGGGGGTGTTTATGATGTAAGAGTTTTTAACATACCGTAATGAAGGGAAGAGTGTTAGACAACATTATCTCTGAGATAGCTGCCAACTCTCTGTCTCCAATGCAAATGTAAACGCTTAGAGGTTCACATTTATTTAGGCTGTGAACTACAAGCTCGACAATCCCTTCTACTGTTCTTTTTATTGATAATAAAAAATACGTATTATTTAGTTATAAAAGACCGGAATGGGTCTTTCACTCAAGATTATAACGGAATTCTCTATCTCAAGTGTAATGATTTTACTTAAATTAACTACTAACACTATTAATGCGAAGTATTAACATTTTAGAGGTATGTATGTTTGCAAAGTCGCACAGTTGAACAAAAGTTTAACTTAAAAAAGTACGAAAGAAGTTATTAATTTGAGTAAAATTTAAGAAAAAGAGCAATATTAACCTTAAAACTATCTGCTACCAGTGTCTTGCTACCAGTTATTTGTAATACTAAAAATAATATTAAGTTACTTTAAGGTCCTAATAATATGATACATAATTTGGAAACTTCTACAAAAAATGCAGTTGTTTATATTGTTTTGGGAAGTTGTATTATCATTAGCCGCTCTTATAACAAGTTTAAAATAATATTCTTAAAATGCAACTCGAACTGATGAAATTTAACTATCATAGAAAAATATAAAACAAAATAATATAATATGCTTTGAATAAGTTTCACTTTTTTAAAATAACAATTATTCAATTAAATTGACGCCTATGTTTAAAGATATTAGCACATTCATGATTGTAAATATATTAAACAAATGAAGGTATAGGAAAAATGTATTCCACAGAAACTTATGTAAGAGAAAAGCTATGCTCAGTATAATTTACTTGTATAAGACTATCATTTTGAGTACATTCAGGTCTTATGAATTTTGTTCAGAGATATATCAAATGCTATACTATCCTTTCAATATTTACAGTTTACGTAATGCATTTAAAGTCAGCTGTGTAGCTTTTTGAAGAACTGATTAAGATCAGCTGTTTTCGTTGTTGAAATGTATTCTTCCATATAATTACTTTTTAATTACTTATTAATTTTTATCTCGGTTAGAACAGAGTTAAAATATCAAGGATTTGTACTAAAAGTTATAACAATTTTAACAAGCAAAATCCGTAACAAAATTAAAACACACAAAACTACACACTAGAATTTTGAATAAGATTGTTCGTAAAGTTTATGATCAACTTTTCAGTGTGGTTATTGATGGGCTCTCAATGAGTTTTCATGAGTTTCTTTATGTGAAAACCTAATATGATAGATACTGTATAACTTTTAGATTCTTTTTTCTTCTTCTTGTGCCATTTGGTGCATAATTTTGACAGAGAAACCAATTTACGAACTCTTCGTTGCAAAGCAAATTAAAAGTTTTAAAACAGTAAAATGATTAGCAAAAACCTGTATACCTTGTATGTACCAAATAGTTTATATTTTTGTTTGAAATATTTGCTGCGCACACTTTTTGTTGGACTGTTGACTCAGATGTACTCTTAGTATGAATTATCTTTCTACTAAATTTTCATCTGTAAAAGTTTTTAACTTCCAAACAAATACAAACTGTTTTTACTTTTACCTAAGATCACGAATTGTTTTATCTTAAATTAACTTCCAGTGATTAAGAAAATTTCATTAATGTTAAATTACTTACAGCTTTTTGGAGTTGGTATATCGTTGGTTCCCAAAACTGATGATGAACAGGTTGCACCGTTAAATTCGGACGCGGACTAAGATACTGAGGGCAGCGGTCTGATTGGTGGGTGATTTTGGGTGGTTGGGGGTGTTACCCCCCCCCCCCCCCACCCCTCATAGGCCGCCCTACATGACACACTAAGCAAATTTCATGTTTCCACTTTTCACTGAATCAAAAATTAGACCTCTGTGTACTTGCAAAATGTACAATTTTATATGAGCTCCTTCATTACTGGCATAAATTGCATAGTCTGATATTCAGAGTGGCTGAAAAGTAACTTGCTACCCCCCCCCCCTAACTTTTAAACATTAGAGGTATTTGAAATCGGTTTGCGGCAACCTTCTCAGATATGACGGGCAATAATGATGGTTGATTTTGAAAATTTTGCCCTTCAGTGGTGGTAGGAGGTAGCTGAAAATTTTCAAATGTCAAGTATAGTCAAGATTGGTATATTTAATGTTTAAGTGTAGTATCATTTTGCAGGTCTTGACAAAACTAAGCAATCAACATAAAGAAAATATAACTCGGACGACTAATAACAAAATGGCAGTTAAAGATTACTTTTAATAACCATTGTCATAATAATTTTTAGCTACCATTTTAGGATTAGGATTATGATTAGGCCATTATAGATTTAGATAAGTTTTAAAGTGCCATTTTGTTATTAGTGGTCCAATTTTGGTTTTCTTTATGAAAATTTTTCAGTTTCGTCAAGACTTGTAAAATGATACCAAACTGTACTATACTTGCCTTTTGAAAGTTTTGATCTACCCCCTACCTAGTTAATTTCCAAACGCAGATTTTTCGAAATTAGCCATAATTATTGTAGCCCCTCATTTCTAAGAAGGTTGCCGCAAACCGATTCGAAACATCTCTAAGTTTTCAAAAGGAAAAGGGTGGGAGGGGTGCAAGTTACTTTTCAGCCACCAAGGATGACCTTTAAATCAGACAACTTGGTAATTGATTCGCATTGTTTCCAGTTAAAGTTCAGTTGTTATGGGTGTTATGTTTAATTTGACTTGGCAGTTTTTACAATTTATCAATTACGTCATTTTTGAATCTAGTTTAACTGTATTCATCACACAATAACAATATTTGGGTTAATCAAATGTTTGCATTCATCAAAGTGTGTAGAGTTGATTAGGTATATTAAATACTATATTTTACTAAGGCTCTCTTATTCATAGACTAAGAAACCACTAACAGGTGCTAATTTACTGTAAATAAAATCACTCATATTATTTCAAACAACTGTATTTAATTAAAATGAACAAAGCAATATTAACGAAATACATATAAAAATTCTGTAATCTCGGTTGCAATTTTGGTAAAAATGTGAAATGTGTGTAACAAGAAAATAGTTTTTAAAGAAGCTGTAATGAACGGCACAGCATTTTTCTGAAATACAATATACATGTCTGGATATTAGTATACATAATCTTTATTGCAATACTATCTTTATTTATCAGCACTACAAATTTTTAACACTCCTAAAAATGGACGGAATAAACAAAACCTATCAACTACTAATACAAATGTTGATAATATTTAATATACCATAATATAATATACAGTAATGTAATTGAACATAAAAATATTTTATCTACCTACTAATGTGATTAATTCGTGGTATGGTCAATAGTTTTTGAAATTTAGAATCAGTTGAATCATTAAATAATTAAATAAGAGACTAGTGTATAAAGTTTATTGTAGAAACTTGGTGATTAGCAGCCAAATTTACAGTATACAAATACAGGTAACACTAGTACTCGTATATTGGGAACTATACGTTAATTATTTTTTCAAGTGGTAAAATATTCATTACGGTACTAACTAACTACATTGGTGCATTATCTAAATAAAATACTATCCCCATAAAACATATATAATGAAGCTAAACACCATTCAGGTGGTAAAGATATTAGAAATATTTGGAACTCAAGACTTAGGAACGCTGCAGTATGTTGGACCACCGCTGTCGCAACTTGACACTTTGTGGTCAAACCAGCAATGATGATTGTGTGGTCCATGACTATCAGCTGTGTGACTATTTGGAGTCTTGTAGTTCACACTGTAGAAGATCCCCCTGGGGCCGACTGATGATAAACTGGATTCGGAACGGGATTCATCGTTCCATAACGTAATTGGAAATTCAACTGGTCACCATTTGGATGTTCAATATGAGGTGTTGGAAGTTGGTTGTTATTTATATCCACATAACCTTGCAAATTCTGGTGGTCGGTTACAGGACTCGGTGGAGGTTGGTTTAGCGTATCTTGGCGAGGCGGACGTTCACGAGCCGAATGTTGGCAAGCGGAAGACTGGATCGATACAAGATTGCGAGACGGATGTTGGTTCAACCAAGGTTGAGGTCGCTGAGACAAGGGTTGGCGTGGTTGAGGTTGGTGCCGTGGTGGTTGGCGGGGCGCAGGTTGGTAAGGAGGAGGTTGCCGATATCGATGTTGGCGGGATGGAGGGGGCGGAAGATGGCGACGAAGAAGTTGGCGTCGTGAAGATTGTTGAGGTGGGACAGGGCGAGGCGAAGATTGTCGAGGTGGAGGGTAAGGTCGGGAGCGTAATATTACGGTCCTGCGAGCCGATGGGATGTACCTTATTCCAAAATGAGGATTAATGGGACGTAAAGGCCTTGCTTCTTGGTCAACCTCCACGGAATTTGTTGAGCTATTTGGTTCCATTCTTTGCAAATATGGTGGAGTTCGTATATGCATGGAGCGTAAACGCATTGCTTCTTGGTCGACCACCGAATCAAATGTTGGGTTATTTGGCTCCATTCTTTGCAAAGGTGGTGGAGTTCGAATATGCATGGAATGTAAACGCCTTGCTTCTTCGTCGACCTCGGGAGAATTTGGCGGGTTAATTGGATTCATTCTTTGCAAAGGTGGTGGAGGTCGAATATGCATGGAATGTAAACTGCTTGCTTCTTGGTCAACCTCCCGGAATGTTGGAGAATTATTTGGTTCAATTCTTTGCAAAGGTAATGGATATGGTGTATTCTTGGGATGTAGACAGATTACTTCTTGATCGTCCTCTGGAGATAATATCGGGTAATTTGGTTCCCGGATTCTTCGCCAATTATTTGCAGAGTATATAGGCCGGGGGCTTGCTACTTGGTCATCCTCTGGATGGTATCCACCATCCCCCACTCCTTCTCGTAGATTGATACCTATGACGTTTATCAAATGAGCATCCTCCCATGCACGGAAGAGCGGCCTGCGTATTGGATTCAAAGCGTTCACTTCCATCGCTTCAGCTGTACTCGATGGATTTTCATTATATTCTTGGGGCTGAAAAATATAAAAAAAAACATGAAGTGGGATTCGTAAATCAAACATGGTTATATTGTAAATCAATTTGTCAATTCATATTTCTTTATTCAATTATAACATCAGTTAACTCCCTAAATACCTATCATTACAAATTGACTTCATGTTTTACTGTAATATTAAGTGTGGTTGATGGTCTAGTTAATATACGTATTCAAACGATGGCAAAATGGGTTATCATAACATCGCTAACTACTCCTCTGTGTATATACAGAGTGGAAAAAAGTCCCGGGACAGTTTAATATTTTAAAAAATAATCATGATTGGTACAAAACTTGGTGCTAAGATATTAAGCATTAAAATGATTGTAACACATTATTTATTGATACGCTACCTCCTCTGGGGGTGGCCCACTGAAGAAAATCTGAAAGTAAGCATAGGTTGATATGCATATCAAATTAAAGGTTTTTGTTAGTTAAATACAATGCCGCTATGCCAACTCCTCAGATGGCACCCGCTGGAAGTCAGGAGAAAATCATATACTTAATCATAGGTCAATATGCACATCACATTAAAGATCTTTGTTAGTAGAATACAATGCTGTCAATTTTAGCCAGAAAGAACTACTGAGTGAAAACTGACAGCCGTTCAAAGATTGAAAATGGCAGAATCATGATTTCTTTGAACGACTGCCATTTTCTACTCGGTTGTCAATTTTCATTCAAATTTGTGGAATTGTATTCTGTTAGTGAATACCTTTAATTTGATGTACACATCAACCTATGCTTACACTTTAGATTATATTCTGACTCCTAGCGGGTCGTTCCCCTGAAAAGGTAAGGTATCACAGAATAATGTATTAGAATGATTTAAATGCCAAGTAACTTTTTAACAAGCTCTATCTTGATTATTTTTTTAAATATTTAACGGTCCCGGGATTATTTTAGCCGCTATATTGAAATACACTCAATAGGGCAAATTTGCCTTTCTTTACAATCACAACTATTTGAGGAAGTAGACAAATTTATAATTCTTTAGACAAATTTGTATGGAAATTCTTGCTAAACTTAAAACGCCGAAAATTCATTTTGATGTATCTAAATGATGCGAGACATGTAAAATTATTTTTTATTTCCCTCCCTCTCATCCTAAGACGATAGGATAAAGCCCGGAACTGTTCTACACGTTACTTCAGGATGATTCAGAGGGTCGCGGTATTATCACATTGATAAAATCAATTTGTGATTGGCGGGATTGGTGATAGCCAGGGTCCGCCAGCTCTACCACCAGATCGCTCCCCAGTAACATTAATGACAATTAATTGTGACATAATACCTACCAGGAACATCAAGACATTATATTTTATGAAGACTTCTTTATCCTATACTTGGCAATTGGAAAATTAAATGTGGTTAATGTATCGGTTTTTCGTCTATACGTATTAAAAATATTAAGGCGAATAGTAAAGCTTGAATAATACGAGTAACTTTTGCGTGAACAAAGATTTAATTTGTTAGAAATACAGTACAAAAGAAAAGTTTATTCCGATTAATACCATTGATCATTGATTATAAACTCAGCATCGATAATAAACTTAAGTTGTATTACTTACCAATAGAATAAATACGACTTTTCAAACACGCAGTGTCTTTTACTGCAAAATATTACTCTTATATTGAACCAAGAGTCTAACCTAAGGATTTGTTGCTAGCCTAGTTAGCGTTTCGGGCTCAAGTGCGGAAAGGGCGGGTTCAATTCTCGATCATCTATTGGCTTAGAGGCCACGATTGTTGTGAATTCATTTTTAAGTTCCCATTCACCCCTTTCTCCCCTACCATTCATTGGTTTCGAATAAAAAATCTAATTTTTCCTACAGTTACCTAACAATGTACATGTTCTCTCACTGATTTGAGAAAGCAAAGTGGCCAATTCGCTCATCAGTGAGACAATGTTAACATTGTCTCACTCTAATTACTTTGTCTCACTCCAGATTTGCAACGTGAAGACACGAAATAGTGAGCGCGTAACATGCAGGCAACGTCGTATGCGCGCGAAATACGTTGGCAGCACTGGCTGTAAATCAGCTGGTCAGCTGTTGTACTGTTGTATTTGTCACTTCACATTACTGTTATATTAAAAGTTTACTTCTGTGAAAAATAGGTTATGTTTCTTCACAAATTTATTTGTTTTATGGTAACTGTAGGAAAAGTATAATGTGCAACTCGAGTTCAAAGTACAATTGCCTCACTCGAGAAACCATTCCTCACTCGCCTACGGCTCGTGAGTAAGGATTTCTCTCGAGTGAGTCAATTGCTCACTTTTCTCACTAGTTGCACAAATAACTATTCTGTAAGCACAAACTGCATTTTGTATCGATGTCATGTAGATTCTGGTATGATAAAATAAAGTCTTGTAAAATGGCACAGCTTTTAAAGAAGAATTTGGTTAAGAAATTAAAGGGTTATTAACTTAACTATGAATTGGAAACTTAGAGAAAATAGTTATTTGTGCAACTAGTGAGCAAAGGGAGCAATTGACTCACTCGAGAGAAATACTTACTCACATCGTTTCTCGAGTGAGGCAATTGCACTTTGCACTCGAGTGGAACATTATATTTTTCCTACAGTTACCATAAAACAAATACATTGGTAAAGAAACGTGACATATTTTTACACAGAAGTGAACTTTTAATCTGACATGATACAACAGTACAACAGCTGACCAGCTGATTTACAGCCAGTGCTGCCAACGTATTTCGCGGGCATACGACCTTGTCTGCATGTTACGCGCTCACTATTTCGTGCCTTCACGTTGCAAATCTAGAGTGAGTGAGACAAAGTAATTAGAGTGAGACAATGTTAACATTGTCTCACTGATGAGCGAATTGACCACTTTGCTTTCTCAAATCAAGAGAGAACATGTACATTGTTAGGTAACTGTAGGAAAAAAAACTTATCTTCACTTATAATAACTTTTTAAATGTTCAGTTTACCCTTAAAATACCGGTAGCTAAAATGGTAGGCATAATGCAATGATTTAACCAAGGAATTTCAAAACTACCATGACATTAGAATACCTTCAAGGACTAGTGATAAAAGGAAGTTTGCGCTCATGTTACACATTGTATGTTTTCCTACAGTTACTATAAAACATAAATAATTAGTCTTTCAAACACTGTACAACACGTTTTTGGTTAGGTTAAATCCAGGCGTTGAACGAAAGTAGAATGTTAACACGAATCAACAGGTTAAGTCGTAGTATTAATACTCAAAGGCTGTGAAACGCTGCACCAGCTGATCGTAGTCGTAGTATTGTATTATAGTTTTACTTTGGATACAAATTTGAGAAAATCATTTTTATTTTATACTTTTGTTCTAAAGATTTGAAATTGATGTATTATATTCGCAATAGCATTGAGTATAAACATAACATAGTTATGAGTAGCCTGCAAGAACAAGACGTGTTGATAAGAACGTTCTGAAAGCTTCTTGTCACGTAGTCCAGAGCACGTGCTGGGCCGGGGTAGGGGGTTTTCCTAAGACGCTAGGCACGAGCCTGGGATTGTTTTTCACATTACTTCAGGCTAAACCTAGGGGTTGCGGCATTATCACTTAAATAAAATCCATTGGTGGTTTGGCGGGATTTGAACCCGGGACCTCAGGGACTGAAGTCCCGCACTCTAACCACTAGAGCAGCTCAGGCCGGGGTAGGAGTGGAAGGTTCCAGACCTGAGCTAACTGATATAAGGGAGCTGCTCCTAAGTGTCTGTTAATTCAGAGTACGTTACAGAGTCGAGATATCCTGGGGTAAATTCTGCAGCCTACTAAATGAGTAGTAAGTTTATTTTTATTTCTCTTATTAGAATTTCTTTACTTTTATCCCTTTTAACACTATCAACGAAGAAGTACACTGGTATATAGACATATTGAAGACAGCCATTCGGCAAACTATCTATATTGGTATGCAGTTTTCATATGCCAATATTTTTTTGAAATGTTTGTTGACAGAGGCAGTAATTCGAATTTATTTATAATGGCTTAATTTGATACAATTGTTAATTAAATGGTTGTACAATTAGCTCCAGTACTTGGTTATGGTCAAATCTTTTCATAACATTCATTTTATTACGTATTTTTACAGTATTTTGGAATATTATTGTTTTAATGAGTACCAAAATCGGTTTGAAATCATAAATAAGTATTATTTATATTGTTACCTACTAAACACATTTAACACCGCCCGCCAAGCAAAGCTCGGTCTCCTGACACTCTTAGTATGTCGACTTTTAAGGCTTAAGGCAACTTCAAAAATAAATATTAAAAAAAGCAAAAGATCTACCAAACTGCTGCTTTATCAAGCCTTTAAAAACGTGAGTTTATAATACAGAAATAAGACACCAAACTGAACTACTATTATCGATTGTACATGTTACCTGAACTACCGTAGCAGTAGGAAGTACGGGGCGAGGTCTGATCACTGTAGGACCCACAGCGAATCCTTGGGGTGTCGCATAATGTTGAATCGGGAGGCTGGCAATAGGCATCCTGATGATGCCGATGGTCGGTGCTGTCGGCACAATGACGCGTGGGAGTGGGACCCAGCCAGGGGCAGGGGGATCATCAATGTAGGTTGGAGGACCGTAATTAAAAGATGAAGTGCTGGGACCAGTGTATACGAAGCCCGGCCCAGTCGACCAGTTGGCATCTCTTGGCTGGAAGACGTTTGAATTTCCTTGGGTTGCGAAGATGACGGAGGGCCTGCTGGCTGTTACACTGTAGGGGACCATTGAGGGTCCGCTGGCTGTTGTAGCGAGTGCTGAAATGTTGTTTGTGGTACCACGTCCTATATATGCGTAGCTCACTGCTGGGAAACATCCCTGCGTGGACGATGATGGCATCTGTGGGCTTGGATGTGAAATCTGAGCAAAAGGGGCGTGAGGACAGTCCGGACAACGTAGGGTTGTTGTTGTAGGGTTGTTGGACGTATCCTCCTCCCGGTCGTTTTCACTGTCGGAAGCTACACCTTGAGTAACTTGACGGCCCTGGAAAATAGAAAAACAATTATATAATATGAGTATAGTTATTATAAACAGAAAACTAATAGTGAAATTTAATACTAGCAAATATCCCCGCCGTAGAAAGGGGTTTAGATTAAGCAAATATCCATTTGTCTGATTAGATTTTTGTTCAAATATTTTCTCAGACATTTCAGATTTGTTCGAAATTTAAATAATGCTAGGCTTGACACGTACTTAGGTTTGCTGCTACATGAATCGATAAAGTGTATGTTATTTGTAAAATTTTAATAGTATATAGTGAGATCAGTAGATTTGTCGAATTTGATCAAAATATATCCATAAACAAAGTAACTGTAGCGGTCAACCTTTTCTCCAAAAGAATAACTTAAGAATTCCAATTTACAGTTTTAGAACTTTCTCCGTAACATTGAAATGTAAAACAATGTACAACAATGTAAACCAATGTACAACGACGCTTCAGTATTCAAAATTATTAATTTTAGGCTCTACTCGATAGTTGTATGTATTGAGCATTTTTATATTCTGAGAGTAAACATTGTTTAAAATGTTTAAGCCCCATAAAACCCCGTTTTTATTACCCAATCTTGCTGATTCGTGACCTTAATCAAGTTTATCCAGTCCCCATGTTCATGTCATAATTCATCAAAATCGGACCAAAACTACTAAAGTAAAACATATATGTGCGTGTGTGTGAGTATACAAATTTGGATAAATAATACTTTTGGCGTATCAGGACACCAACATAATAAATCGGTCATATTATGACGGGCTTGCGTTAAGTTAATATAAGTATAATTTTAGCAAATATCCCATATGTACTTTCAATACCTGAACAATTAATTTTATTTAATTTCATAACAGAATTTCCATACAATGATCTTGTTCTTTCCTAAATCACAAATAAACATTCAACTTAGTCATGCATAAAATTAAAACTAGAAAATATAAGTTCTATAAAATATAAATTCATTGTTTGAATTGATATTAAGATTTTTTGCATGTAAAGTAAAATCCATGTAAGTTCAATGTTTAGTCATAAACGACCTAATTTTAAAATAGACAAATTAAGAAAAGACCCCTAAAATTTCTGCTTTATCATAAAGTGGGCTGAAATTAATAGTTATAGGTGACTTTTTATGACTTTCCGTAATTATGAAACTTTAAAATTTTTACTTTTTTTTGTAATACCCAGTAAAAAAACACATCATAACAGGAGTGGTTCACTGGTTAATGTAATTTAAAACATGTTTCGATGTCGTCAGAATTACGCTAAATCAAGCAGTTCCGTAGTCATGGTATTAACAATTTTTATAAAATTTTAAAATGCTATATATTTTTTTAATAAACTATCAATGAAAAGTTCTAGTTTGAAATTATATACGTAAAACATTTGTCCTTAAGATTGACGTAAGCATGCATATATTTTAATATATTTTCATGTGGTAACTCAGCCTCATTAACAACGGAATAAACACTCATTTCTGGTTAACCTCAGTCGAAATCCTTATTACCTAAGGATATGCTTATACTTAAGTATTCATAGTTACCTAAGTAACGTGGTATATTTTTACATAAGAGCTTTAACAAAAACTCTATAAGATCGAATAATTGCTACTTTGAATTTAAAATTACTTTTTGCTGAGACGCAGATTTGTATTGTACATTCTCCTACTACAGCTACTTCCCGAAAACATAAATACCCCTGCCACAGCAAACCTGCAGACTAAGCGGATGTTCATTTGCCGTATTGGATTTTCACTAAAATATTTTATTAAATATTTTAGATTTATTTCCTGTTTAAATGACATTTAATTTCATTAGTAATTAAGTTTGCTGCTACAGGGAAGATTATTAGGCGTGCTTTAGTGAAAGCTCTAAATTCAAATTCAAATATTAAAGAAATTACAACAGCTTGGCCTCACCAAGTTTAAAAAACTACTTTGCGAGGTTCAATAGATGCTTAAAGATAACAATCAACATTTTAAAATTTTTATTATTTTTTAGAACAAAGATACTTAAATCTACTATTTCTAAAGTGGTTGTGGCAGGCACTTTACTTGAAACAAAGTAGTTGTCAGCATACTAACAATTTCTAGATGTAATTAAAAAAGCTAATTAATTGCTTTATTATCTACGGAATAGCCTACTCTTTGGATTACAAAAGTGAATTTTCCAAGTTCGAAATATTTCAATAAACTATACAGCGAATACTAGCCCAAAAAGAATATACTTATCTACAGCAAGAAAATCGACTTTAACGCCGTAATTAAAATTAGCCAACAATTATTTAACTCAAGTCCCTCTAACAAGATTCTTATGATTAATATTTCTTCAAAATGTAGCTTTGTGAACCATAACAAATTAAAAAGTTAAAGTGTATTCTTTTTTATTTATGATGAGAAACTTGTCCAAATCAATCATTGAATGTTTTACTGAAGGTTTATGATACTCATATTAACCCACAAATTACATTTGGTTTTGAATTATATGGCTCAACGACAATAATGTATACACGGTATTCATTTCATAAACACGCCCATACACATTATGCTAGATAACAGCCAAACGAAGCAACAAAATTTAGCTAATTTAAATATCTTCGTTGTGTATGGATTAGATACAAATTAACTTCCAAGATTGGAGTGACACATTAGTCAGCAAAACTACAGCCATCCAGAGATATGATTTAGAGTTTCGTATCAAAAAATCCCCAGCTGCAGGTATACATACATAGCTGCAGGTCAATACATATAAAAATTTAAGATGTTTATAATCGACAAATGTTGTAATTGACACTATTCTGTCTCTAAGATTGTAAATTATAACTTATTTTTTCGTGTATAATGCTGACTTTAAGCTTTTAAGTCTAGCATGGTATAACATGAAGAAGACTGAATTGGAACAAATATCACAAACAAACCTCATATGCTGTTTCCTGATTGTAGCATGGAGAAAAAGAACCATGATTTAACTAATATCACATACTGTACATACAGGGTGAGGCAGACCACCCGTACACAATGTGTAGTGGGCAAACCAATCGAGGTAGATCGTTTAAACAACTTAAACCCCCCCCCCATGTTTTACCCCGTACAATTTGGGGAAATTGTTTTGTAATTTCCCAAACACACCCAAAGGGTAGGTTTTCGGGGATGGAGATAGTTTTAGGAAAGTTTACAAATGTAAATTCACTGAACATGTTGATGCATTTTTTTTTTAACTTATCTCGATGTTCATGTACAGGGTGTTCAAAAATGTCTAAACTTCAGGGTATTACAGTTCATTTTATTACAAGCTCCTACATTAATGTAAGGGAATACAATTCTTATCCCAGATTAATGAAAAGACGCCCTTTCCAAAAAATACTCCCAAGTGTACCACTACTCCAACGTTTACCGTTTAAAAACAATACAAACTAGAGTTTTGAAGCCGTTTGAGATAGAAGCACACTTTAAATGTAGAAAATATGTTTAAAGACCTTTTCAATCATGGACTAGTACATGACCTATTTTGCTATTTGAGTTTATTCACTTTTAAGCTCTTAAATTTCAAAAATTTTCTGTGTTTTTTAAATTATTCAACTTTGGCGTGGTGGTACATTTTAGGATATACAGTATAACCCAACCCATACTCTAGTTGGGTTTTAACTTGAATAGTAAATTTAACTTCTTAGTTGCTATCCCATCCATTAAAACCTTTGTTGATTGGCTAATCTACTAGCAACAATGATATTTCTTCCGATCTGAGTGGATTTGGGTCAAATCACGGGTCACGTTCTGGAAAGAATAAAAGGAAGATCAGTGACGTCATACTTGTTCGACTTCAGAGGTACGATTCCATGACGTTCATACTCTTTCCTCTAGGTCCGTTAATTTTGGTGGTCCTGGACCCTGGATTGGAGGGAGTCTGGACTTTGGCTAATAATCGCTACCTTTTAGCTGTTCGCAGTTTCTTATACGAAGTTGACCGTTTTGATTAAATTAATTATATTATATTTTGAGTCGGTGAAATAGCTGTTAATAAATTAAAGTAATTCTTTCTAGTAATTTTTTTCACTTGTCACAAGATACTTGGACATGTCTAAGTTAAAAATCAAAGTTTTTATTAGTCTAGCCTAACATAAGTTAGTTGATTCATGGTGTTTCTGTGATAAAAGGCTGTAACTTAAATTGGGTTTATTTCGATTGTGTTTTATTCATTTAAAGTATTGCTCTAACCATATTTGAAAATAAAATGCATTAACTACAGCTAACATAGGCATAAATACATTTTGCAGTCAACAACATAGGGTTCAAGCCTTCAAGGACTCTAGGCCAATATCTTGCAAGTGGCATTAATTTGTAATTAGGCCTATGTAATTTGTCGCCACTCATCCTACACTCATCCTTCACTCATATTTGGGTTAAAATACGCACCTAGTGGCCTCCCCATCTGAAATAATTGATTAAATTGATTGATTGATAATTGAATGACAGTAAAGAAAACCTTTGAAACTTATGACTTAGGCCTAGACCCACTCAAAAATGTTAATAATATTAGTAAGTGTACAAAGAAAAATGTTTACATGCAGAATTATGACGACGCTTTAAATGATGAAAATATTATGAAAGTTCATATCTTATTGAAATCTACTTCTGTTTATGGCATTTTAATGCTCAAAATAAGACTATTTAAAACTAATGAAATATTCATTATAAATTAACAAAGGTCAAGCAAGTTAGTATGGATGGTGAGGACCGCACAAGTGGAGAGGTTATCTATTTATCCATCTTATCCTACAAATAACTTAATATAGCCCTTCCAAATAAGTTATTTTTAAATGAAAATGTCAAAAAATCATAATATATATTTAACTATATAATCCAAAGAATTGCATTGATGAAATATTTTATGTCAATGAAATAACAACTACTATAATAATAAATTGTTTAATCCGATATTGTTAATTTGATAGTTATGGAGGCAGACGATAATTACGTCAATGTCACAGACTGGACAGTACC